GAATAGGAAATGTACTCAACATGAAAGAGGGTTAATAAACTGAAAGTCAAAGATGAGAAAACAGTTGTCTGTGTGATGGAACCAGAGAGAAATAGGGATAGCCGCAGATAGGTTGAAAAGTTACGACACTTTTGTGCAGTGTAGAACTACACAGCTAGAAGGAAGGAAAACTTTGTGGCTTTAGTGAGTAAAGGGAACACAGCTCAAGATCAAGCTCAGGGGTAAAAAGATTCAGCACCACTCAGATAGATAACGGATTGACCCCCCCCCCGAATCTAAAAACTAAAGGACCTAGTGGGACCCAAAATATACAAAGCATCCTGAGAAAGGGAAAGATGAGGAATTGTCTAAAAAAAAGGAATGCAGAGGGCATTGTTAATAGTGTATCAGGATTTAAAAGCCACAGTAGTGTTATCGCTCTGTTTAGTTTGATTTTATTTTGTTCTGGTCTGTCTGCTCATACTAGATTTGAGGGCACAGACAGCTATCCCCAAAATAGGAGATTATACCAGGTAACTATCCTTAATTTCCTATTAACTTAAACTGAAGCCCTGTATTACTTACAGTGTCTTACTGTGACTGATCTTACTTGAAGCTGGTGTGTTATATCACTATTTTGGCTTGACTAATTTTATTCAAATTTGGTATGCTTGACAGTATCAAGTCTAAGAGTAGAGGCAACTACCCTGAAGATGACAAGATGTAATAAGATACCCATTCTTCTTTGATTATCAACTGCTTTTGAAGTCCTACAATGTCTTCAAAGTTGTGTTTTTATAAAAATAGCTATGTAATGCTATGCTTAACTATATAATGCCTAATGATATGGACAATTCTATTGAAAATAACAAGAAAAAGCATAGTAACTGTAGATCATGTAATAGTGTGGTCTTATATGTCTTTTTCATTTCATGTTTTTCTAGGAATTTGTTTTGTTGTCTTGTTTTGATCTGTTTTTCCCTATAATACAGAAAGGATAGATATACATGTAGAGATTCACTTATGGGGAGAATTTCTAAACAGTTTATGGGAACAGATTATATAATGCATGATGTAATGAACAGATTCTCTGAAGAAGAAGAGACACTAAGATACCCAGTGCTATTTCTGTAGCATTATAATATAAAATCTAGCAATACTATTATTCACTGTTCAGAGTGATGTTAGTCTAGTCCCTTATGTACAATTTTAGCATACATAAAGATAAGGACAGCTACTTCAAAGAGAATGAGAGACATTATGGCAGTCATTATTGACTTCCCCAATGTCAGGTCTTGAAGACCTAAAAAGCCTTCATCATCCTGTTATGACTAGATTAGCTCTATAATATTCAGTATGTATTCAATGTATGTGAAGATGGGGATAACTATTTGGAAGAAAACTAGAGACAATAAGATAGCAGTGAAGATCTCCAATGGACTTGCTTTGAAATCTGTGTTTCTTAAACTTGTTTCCTTATGATCTGTTTTGTTCTATTTTGTTATGTTTAATCTTACCCTCTTTAAAATAAAAAAAGAAAAAGATGTATTTTTATACCGTGGAATATTACTCAGCTATAAAAAGGGATGATCTTGAGGCCTTTATAGGTAAGTGGAGGCAACTTGAGACTATCCTCATAAGTGAAGTAAATAAGAATCATACTTATAAATATCACATTGTGTCTCTAGTATAAAAAGTAGTAAGAACTGTAGGAGTAATAAAACCCAAAATGTGTAATTGCTATTGTAAAAAAGAAAGGAAAAGAAAGTGCTCTAAAGGATATAACTGCATGTGTGTTTAAGTATGTAAAACAGATAACCATATTACTAAGCTTTTATTGGGTCATTGAGCAGAACTATTTGCAGTCTCACTGTTTGAATGTCCACTTTATATGCTTTAATTTTGTAACTTGAACAACTATTTCTAAGATGACAGTATGTAATTTATCAGCTAGTGATTTCTTACTGTTCATTTTTTTGAAATTACATATTATTTCTATTCTTTTTTATGTTTTACCTTTTTTCTCTTTAAATAACATTTTTTAAAAAAATACAAAAAAAAAACAGTCTAGGAAAATGGATGTACCTTGAGACCAAAATATTAAATGAAAAATCAGGCACACAAGATTAAATATCATATAATTTATACGAGAAATGCAAAATGTAAATCAAAAGATAGGTAATAGAAAATAGGTAGGTAGATCTTTTCAAAAGGGGAGGGGACCCAAGATATGGAAGGAGTGGGAAAGGAAAAGGGACACAGATTTAAGATGTGGGACTGGGGATTTAGCTCAGTGGCATAAGCACCTGCCTGGCAAGCACAAGGTCATGAGTTCGATCCCCAGTACCAAAATATAAAATAAAAAAGAATTAAGATGTGTTATGTGCATGTATCAACTCCCCACAAGGAATGTAATCATTATGTACTTCAAACATGTACCAATAAAAGATAAAAATTATTAAAAATAAAGTACATGGGGGATTAACAAAAACAAGAGAGAGAGAGAATGAATGAATGAATGAATGAATGGAGAAGTTAAAATACTTCTCCAAATTACCTATTCTGTTTTTGTTTTTGGGTTGTTTTTGTTTTGTTTTGTTTTGTTTTGTTTTTGTCTTTTTCCTTTTTATCGGTACCGGGGATCGAACTCACAACTGCCTGCTTGCAAGGCAGGCGCTTATGCCACTGAGCTAAACCCCCAGCCCTGACCTATTCTGTTTTTTTCAAAAATATTGTAAAATATGTGTTAATTTCTTTCATTTATACTACTAGTTTATCTTCGTTCATTGAAAAGAAACTTCAGGGTTATCTGCTTCTTTGTAAAAATATTTCTGATACATGTTTTGTGCTCTGAGTAACTACTTCGAAGTTAATGGTACATAGTATACTAACTTGTTATTTTCTTACTATTTTGTTATGAAAATTAAGAAACCACTCGGTGCTGAACAATCTGAATAACTAAAACCCTCAGGAATATGGGAAAACTTGAGTGTAGAACCTGAGCTGGCTGAGCCCAAGGGTAGAAAGGAAAAAAATCTGCAGAGTGTTGAAGTACTCTCTATATGGACATGGGTGACTCCAGGCTGATGGGATGATGACATGGGAAATTTGGCCAGTAGGAAGAAATTCTTCCAGGATAGAGGTGCCAGACTGGTTTTACATCAGGAAAATGGTTGAAACTGAAATGACTGGATTTTGGAAATTCAAATCATGTTAAAGTGTGTTGTATTATAGTATCCAGGAATCATCTGTTCTCCATGACTATATAACCCTTCTAGCAATGACTGAGAGAAGATGCTTTCTTGAACACTATGAATGAGTCTTTTAGCACGAGAACTTCACTGGAAACTGAATTTTGTCTTGTTGAATCCATATACTACTTGACAGCTGTTTTCTAGCTCAAGAGCAAGTTTGTCATATTTTTACCTTACTACCAGGATCTGATTATATAACCCTTTCAGCTTCTGGTGAGAAACTGGCCTTAAATAATAGACTGAGTTGCCATTTTTATTGCTGTTTTTATAGACCAAAAAGTTGGATATTAACAATTTTATGTAGTTCAGCTTGCTGCATAATTGAAACTAGCAATTTGGAATTATGTGCCAGTTACTGTATATCTTTCCTGTACACATACCTACAAAGCCCTAGGTAACTTGACATCTCAGACTCAGCTGTTGTCAATGTCCTTACCACCTAGCACCACCAGTATCTTAGTCTAAACTGTCACAGCCTTAACAAACCTGTATTTTAACAAAGTGATGCTTTCCTGGGTGGCTTATTTTCACCTTTTACACAGTAGAAAGATTCTTTTAAACCTAAGAACCTCTTAAAAAATACCCTCTAACCCACTCCTGGCTAGCTTTGTTCCTCAGCATTTAAAAGGAACTGGGAATATTGAAGACATTGTACTAAATGAAATAAGACAGACACAAATAGACAAATACTTTGTGATTCCATTTATATGAGATACTTGAAATAGTCAATTTCATGGAGGCAGAAAGAACAGCGGTCACCAAGGGCTGGGACAGAGATGGAAATGGGGAATTGTTACTTAATGGAGATGGATGGTGATGATGGCAACACGACAATGTGATGTACTTAATGCCACTAAATTATACTCTTTAAAATGGTTAAGATGGTAAATTTTATGTTATATTTATCTTATTGCAATTTTTTAAAAAAAAGAGCTGACTCATCTATTGCCAAATGCTAACACCAGGTCCAAACTTGATGTTCACTTAAAGAGGTGGTAAGAAAATACATAATACTTCAGCTGTTTTAGTCCATTTTGTGTTACAATATCAAAATAACCCGAGGCTGGTTACTTCACAAAGAAAAGAGGGTTTTTTTTTTTTTTTTTTTGGCTCTTTGGCTCAATTTTAGTGGCAGGAAAGTTGAAGAATATGGCACCAGAATCAGTTTGGTTTCTGGTGAGGGCTTTATGCTGTATCATCTCATTCCCAAAGACCTAGTCTTATTCAAAGAACTAACTCAATCTCTCAAGAAAGACATTAATCGACTTAAGCGGACAGTGTCTCCATGACCTAATCACTGCCCACTAGGCCCCACCTCTTAAATAGTCTCATCACCTCTCACTGTCACTATACTAGAGACCCGTCTCCAAGCACATGAACCTCTGGGAGACAAACCATTTGCAAATCATATCACTATCCTTACATTGTCATCAAACGTAAGTGAGATTAAGACCTAGCATCACCAGGGTTTCTCAGAATGGTTCCCCTTCTACCAGGGCCATCTTACAGAAACTATATGTTCCCATTAGGGTGAGAAAACTTTTGAAGCCTTATTGTTCAGGGTTCTGGGGATCAAATGCAGGCCTGTACATACCAAGAAAACACTGTACCTCTGTCTACTTTAGAAACTTGTTAGTACACACTAACTTTGTATTTGGTCTTCTCAAAGGATGAAACTATTCAGTTTTTGGAGCCAGATGTCTTAGGAACAGAGTTCTCTGGTCAGGGCCATTAATCACCTGATGGCTTGATTTTTTTTTGTTTTAGAACAACTTCAAAAGCATATCCACAGTCTCCAAAGACTATGAAGCCACCATACCAAGGATCACCTGTGAGGTACCGCTTTCCTCCCATTCCCAGCCAAGAAACACTTAAGAAGAAAGCAGAGAAAGAGAAGAGCAATAAGGAAAAAGAAAGTGCATCAGGTTCGCAGGCCTTCGGCCCACGTGGAGAGGAAATCCCAGAGAAGCATGTGGCAGACAAACATGCTACCGAGAAACATGTGGCAGAGAAGCAGGCCACTGAGAAGCACAAAGCAGAGAAACATGCTACTGAGAAGTATGTGGTGGAGAAGCAGGCCGGCGAAAAGTGTGAGGCAGACAAGCAGGTCATCGAGAAGCACGAGGCAGACAATCAGGCCACCGAGAAACATGTGGCAGACAAGCAGGCCACCGAGAAGCACGTGGCAGACAAGCAGGCCACCGAAAAGCACGTGGCTGACAAGCAAGCCACCGAGAAGCACGTGGCAGACAAGCAGGCCACTGAGAAGCACGCAGATGACACGCAGGCCACTGAGAAGCACGCAGATGATATGCAGGCCACTGAAAAGCACGTGGCAGACAAGCAGGCCACCGAAAAGCAAGTGGCAGACAAGCAGGCCACTGAGAAGCACGTGGCAGACAAGCAGGCCACCGAAAAGCAAGTGGCAGACAAGCAGGCCACTGAGAAGCACGCAGATGACATGCAGGCCACTGAGAAGCATGCAGATGACATGCAGGCCACTGAGAAGCACGTGGCAGACAAGCAGGCCACTGAAAAGCACACGGCTGATATGCAGGCCACCGAGAAGCATGCGGCTGACATGCAGGCCACTGAGAAGCACGTGGCAGACAAGCAGGCCACTGAGAAGCTCACAGCTGACATGCAGGCCAACGAGAAGCACGCGGCAGACAAGGAGGCCACTGAGAAGCACGTCACAGACAAACATATTACTGAGAAGCTTGTGGCGGAGAAACAGACCACTGAGAAGCACATAGTAGAGAAGCATGTGATGGACAAGCATGCCACTGAGAAGCATGCTGTCATAGGAGGGAAGGCCGAGAGCAAAGCAGGTAGACCTTCTTTGGCAGTGCTACCATTGGGCAGTGGCTTTCCCAATATGGATCCCTGACCCAGTCTATTTGCCCTTAACCTTACGTTTATGGGAGACAGGGAGATTTTCCCTGGGATAATGGCATTCCCTTGTAGTGCTTTATCAGGCTTGCTTGTGTTCCTGAGATCTTCCCCAGCATCTCCCAAGGATCCACTGAAAGAGGAGACCTAGGTGCTGATTCCTTTTATGACTATGAAAATTCACAGGAGTTCTGAGTAAGACAAGCTAAAGCCAGCCAGAAGCTGCACTTCTCACAAGAGAGGGTCTTCCTTCAGTTCTTAAATCCTCTGATATACACAGTGAGCTTGCCCAGATGGTGGCTGCTGGGGGACTTGCACAAGCAAGTTACAAAACTGTTTTTCCTTTCAACCGTCCACTGCCCTCACTGTGGAATGAATGTAGCCAGGGTCACAGCTTCTGCTCAGTGGTTAATTGTAACACTGTCCTGGCATCCTATCACCACACTGCATTGGATTTTTTTGTGTCTAAGTGGCAGTTGCAGCGTGCAGAATCTTTGCTGGTTTGTTCATTTACATTGATCTTTTTTTCTTGCTGTCTCTTTTCCAACATAGCCGCAGGGAAGCCCACAGCTGGCACCACTGATGCAGGAGAGGCCGCAAAGATTCTGGCTGAAAAGAGACGACAGGCTCGGCAGCAGAAGGAACAGGAAGAGCAAGAACGACTGGAGAAGGAAGAACAGGAGAGGTGTGCAAGTGCTCAGAGTTTTGGAAGGCTCTTGTTTAAAAGCTGGGTTGCAGAGAGCAGCTTAACTTTCTTTTTATACTTTTGGTATTGCTAAAACTGAAGCAGAAGTGTAGGACCAGGCAGAGGATTTAGCTCAGTGGCATAAGCACCTGCCTGGCAAGCACGAGGTCATGAGTTCAATCCCTGGTATCACCTAGAATGCCTGGACACTTTAGGGTTTCACTACAGTTCAGGCTGACTGGAACTCACTATAGAAAATTTGCTTCTGCTTCCCAAATTGTTTTCTTTCCTAAATTATCTGAATTTACACCCCATAGTGAGAATGAAATGAGTTGGGCAGGGTCTCCTAGATGAGGGGGTAAGGAGAACCAAGCTGATAGTCCATGAAAAATAAGCTATGGTGAAGTCCTATCCTGGAATAAGACAGAGCATGTCACTGCAGTAGTTCTTAAACGTTGGGAGGATGTCAGAATCCTCCAGAGAACATAATGAAGATACACACTGATCTAAGTCCTGCTCTGTTTTAGTAGTTCACTAGTCTTTGAGAACTGCTGTGGGAATAATGCCAGGGCACTTTGCCACAGGACAGTCCTGCCTTTTCTGATCTTTGTATTTAGAGAGGGAATACATATTAAAGGACAAGGTTGATTTTATTGATAAAGGAAGCTCCTAGAATAATCAGAGTGCAACCCAGTGCTATTTAGAGAGTGACTGTGGCAGGAAACAAGCAGTGCTGTGGTACTTGAAGGCCAGTACTGAATGTAAATTAATAAATAATAAGATATTATTTATCCTTTAGTAACCTTGACAAGTCTTTGTGATCTCTGCTTACAGATTTGCTGATCTGTGTTTTGTGTGTGTGTGTGTGTGTGTGTGTGTGTGTGTGTGTGTGTGTGTTTTAATGAGGATTGAACACAGAGCCTTCACAGTGTGCTGCATCCCCAGCCCATTTTTTTATTTTCTGTTTGAGACAGTGTTTTGCTAAGTCACTAAGGTACCTGGGGAAGGCTCAAACTTGATCCTCCTGCCTCAGCCTCCCAGAGTGCTGGGAGTACTAGTGTCTTCCACTACACCTGGCTTGATCTAATTTTTAGAAGTAGTAGGATCTGGCTTGTTTTTTCTTCAGTTTGGGGCTTCTGCAATTATTTTCTCACTCTAGTCTTTTGGTTAATGACAGTAAATTTTGTTCTTGTTGAGTGGTGTGTTCAGGCTTGTTTGGGTGGGCCACAGGTCACATAAAGGGAGCTCACTGGAGATGATGAATCACAGGACCTCAAATGAGAGGCCTTGATAATTGCAGGCCCTAGAGGTAAGATGCATGCTCTGAGCAGGTGAGTGATATGATTGTTGCTGTGTGCTTAGAAAGGGGAAGTTCTCTACATTTTAGCCACAATCCTTTCTTACATTACCTTCATAGCCCAGCTCCTGAAAACTGATTTTACTTCCTATATTTATTTCCTCAACTCAAAATTCCTCTTCACATCTTATACCCACCATTCTTCCTAATTTCTAAACTCCTGAGTCTCATCTATGCACTTCTCATCCTTTAAATGTTGTCTCAGCTTCCAGCCCCCAGTTTTTGGTCAGCTTCTTACCCTGACAGGTCTTTTCTGAACATGCTGCTCCCTCCTGCTCTGTGATTATCTCTACCATTAGTAGTTTCCTACGGCTTCAAAAGATGTAGCGTTCATATTTCATATAACAGTCACATGTTGAGCCTTTGGTGTGTTAAATAAACTTTACTGTCATCTCCTTTCCTACCTTCTTTCTTCCTTTGCATTGTTTTATCATGTTTCTGAAGCTAATTACATCTTGCTTTGTAAACTTCCCAGACTTTCTGGGAATAAGGGAGGTACTGATAACACATACTTCTGAAGACTTCTGTATCTGTGCCTATGGCCTGGTCTCGTACCTCCCGTACCTAGCACCGTAGCCTTAGGCATAGGTGGCTACTGAAAGATAGGTAAGAGAACATTTGGTTCCTCAGCCATAGTAGCCACATTTTAATACTCAATAGCTAGATTTGGCTAATAGCTACTGCAGTGGGCAACACAGTTCTATAGAATGCTTTCCTCATCACAGAAAGTTCTGTTATGTAGCACTTGTCTAGAACCTACACTGTACAACTGCCTATGTTTTCACTTTAATATGCCCATATTTATCTTAAATTCATCAATTCCAAGGCAGAATTTAGTATCTGTCACCCAAACTTGCTTTTCCTTTTTAAGAGGTCTATGCCCCCACCTATCCCAGGAACCAAGTCATAAGTCTCAGAGTCACTCTCAACTGTTCCCTTTCCATCCTCCACATGCCTGTCATTCATCAAGTCAGTTCTCATTAGCTGTCACATTAGCATGTCCATTCTCCCTTCCCTTTTAACTGCTGTGTTGGACCTGGCCTATCTGGCATCCCAGCTGAGTGACTTGCTCCTGGTCTCCCAGAGCTTGTCCACTATCCCATGCTGTGTCCACAGTGACCTTTTTGAAATAATTGTGATTGGCGCACTCCTGTTTTTTAACAGGCTGGTGACTCTCTTGCCCACAGGATCCATCCACATCCATCCATAGTCCTTGATGGCTTGCCATGAATTGGCTGCTCTCTGCCTTTCTGCCTGCTGCTTTCCTTCTAGGCTGCAAATCCCTCTGATATTCTCCCATCATTGCTTTTATTATGCTTCTACATAGACTCATGCTCCTTCTTGCCAGATGTCTTTTCTTAAGCCACAGGTCAAACTCACTTCTCTATAACCTGCCTGATGCTGGACTGGTGAGAGAAACAGACCTCCCCCACTCTTCATCCTTTTTGATCTCCACTGTTAGCTGACTAATGGCACCAGCCTCATATATTTACAGGCTCTTTTCCTCCCCTAGTTAGCATCCTAAAAGGCTGGGATTGCACTCTTTGGATTGCTGGTGCCCAGTTAATGTATGAGGAAGGAAGACAAGAAGGAAGAGGCTTGACTTAAGGTCAAGAAGACAGGTTAAGAAGACACAAGGCTAAAATAGTATGGTGAAGGCAAACTAGGAAAGGGACTCTACAGACTTGCATAACTCAAAAGAAGTGGGTAAATTTAAAGTTGATTCCCAATAGCAGATAATAGAAGGGTAGAAGGAATTGATTTTAAGGAATAAAAATGATCTGTTTGATATTATATAAACTTAAGTTTAAGGTACCTATAGAATACTTAGGGGATTGGAAATAGAAATTAAACCTTAGGCCTAGGTTAAAAATGAGACTAAATACTTGACCCAAAATCAGTTTTCCTTTTTCTTGCCAGAATGTGAAACTTTGAATAGTGCCACGTGAGAGGTGAGAAAGGAAAGTACCAGACACCCTGGGGCTGGAACACAGCGGATACCTCTTGGAATAAGATCATCCTTGCATCTGTTTTGTGCTTAAAGTTAATAGTTAAAACTACAGAAATGTCATTGCCATTAAAGAAAATGCAGAGAAAAATAAAAATACTTAAGCCAAACCATGGAAAGCCCAATTATTGTTAACCATCTGGTGAGAAAAACACTATCCAAATCAGGGATGGGGAAGACTTCTCTTAATAGAAGGGTTAACTAAGAGTCTAGAGAGCCAGTGATACCCTAAAAGGAGCAAAATCTATTTCAGCCCCAACTAGCACTGACAGTAAAGCTATCTCAGAAACACATAAAAACAAGCCTAGCACCTGGGATTACAGCTGGGCCAAGATGTTCAAAGGGATTGTTGGTGTTGGAACAAGCAATCCTAGGCCCTGGATCTATTCTTAGCAAGCCAATGATAGAAACTAGCAAGCAAAAGAACTTAATGAGCCAGGGATTTAGCTCAGTAGCATAAACGCTTGCATCACAAGTGCTGGGTCATGAGTTCAATCCCCGGTACCAAAAAATAAAAGAACTTACTGAGATTCTAATAGATAGGTGAGGTCACATTAAGAAACTGAAATAACTGCTAGAGGCCCAAAGCACAGACTGTTCAGAAAGAGCAGCCCCAAAAGTAAAGTCATGTAGTCAGACTGAAGTTTGTTGTCCAAGTGAGGGCCCTGTTCCCAGAGTTGCAGGCAAAGATCCTCGGGACGGTTTAGACTTGACCTTTTGCTAGCTGAGCCTCAAGGGTCAGGTAGTCTTGGTATGAGCTAGAGCAGGCAAGAGCTCTCTGTACAGGGCTTGAGCAATAGGGCAGGGCAGACCTTAAGTAGGAGGAGCCAAGAAAACACAGACCTTCTTGTCACAGAGCTGTAAAAAGGGCCTTATGAGATGGATGTTCAGGCTGTCGTACTAGTGAGACATGTCCAGGCTGAGGAAAGACTGCTGATCTTGGGATTTAGGAGATGAGCAGACTTTTGGATGGAAATTACTGAGAAAGGTAAAGGCCCCAAGTATAAGCTGGTCACTCCGTGGTCATGAGTGCTAAGCAGATAGAGGACTAAAGGGAATGGCTTGGGATGCTTGAAACCCATGTATTTTTGCAGAGCATGGAAAAGTGCCTGCGGAAAAGTGCAGCTAGAGCTGGGCATGGTAGCATCTCACACTAGGGGTGCTGAGGCAGGAGGATCACTGTGAGTTTGAGGCCATTTATGGTTACATAGTGAACTCAAGGAGAGCCTAAGCTACAAAGCAAGACCTTATTTAAATAATTAATTAATTAATTAAAGTCGCAACTAGCATCGGAAGGAAGAAAGGCTAGCACGAAGAATATGAAACTACCAGGAGGATGTGGAATTCATAGCACAAGTGGTAGCAGTTGCAATCTTTTGAATTTAAGCAGAAGAAGAAAAGAAATTTTCTCAGAAATCATGCCATAAAGGAGTGAAGTTTAAGAAACTCAAATCAGGTGACTTCAGTCTTCTCTATAAAATGGCTGATTGTTGTCTTGATCAAAGAATTGGTCAAAATGCACGCAAAAGATAATGAGGCTTTAAATTTATTAAACATATTAAAGGTAAGATGAAAGTATTCCCTGCAGAAGAAAAATAGGCCACTCCTTGAACTGATTTTTTTATTAAAAAAATT